CTATGGACAGACTGGATGTTGTGAAGGGCAGATAGCCCTGCTGACAGGCTGCTTGTGAAAGCTCTTCCTAAATACCAACATGGCAGGATCAAACTTCAGTAACTTCTGGTCTTCACCATTAAATTGTCCCTACCAGACTCATACCATTTTGACTCCCAGCACATATTAAAATCAAGTGTCTTTATCTGGGATAAGATGCATTATTAGACTGGAGAGTGGATAAAAAAAACTGGGGGGAGGAAGGAGCAGTGCGAAGAAGATAAGGAGAAATTTTCAGGATGATCAACTCCACCATATAATTTTGGCAACAATTCAATAGGAACCAGCAGTCAGCTGCTGGAAGAACTCTGTTCCATACTTTATATAATGTATATGACTATAATTAAAATTATGTCTAGAAGCTAGGAGCAAAGCTGAAGTCAGTTTCCCCTCATTCTTCCTTAAGAAATCTAAAGGAAGATTCTGGCATGAACTTTCTCTAGACATACCAGAGCTGAAGGCATTAGTGAAAGGAGGCTCTCTCTCCTTTCAAAATCTCCCCAAGCATAATTCAACCTGCCTATAGCACAGGATTAATGTTGACTAAACCTAGTAACAATTGCACAGGTTCTGCAGGGAGAAGGGGGGGGGGGAGCAATTTGACTTTAAAATCTTCCTCAAAATACCTTGAATGAGCTGAGAGAACAAAAGAGGAAAGGAAACTCCTGCAGTTCCTCCTTCACAGGGTGCCCTCATACCTATACGAAGTAAGAATCCAGGCTTAGGAGAGGGGATTTATCACAGCAGAGGGAGACTATCACACTCTTTACGAACACAACTGCACCGTGCCCCAGCATGTGATTCCTTGCTCTTGTGGGTGGGGAAAAGACCATACTTTAATCTTCACACTACAATTTTTCCTGTCTTTTCCTTTCCCCAATAGCTCGATAGAAGGATTTTTTTAATTTTTTTTTTTTCTTAAAGCAACTTCTGTCTCCCTACCCCCAGGCTTATGTACCTGAACAGAACACCTCCAAGCAGCAGTTCTTTTCAGTAAGCCTTGGTCATCTGATAGACTACAGGACAGCTAAGCTCTGTGACTGAAAAATCTGGACTGCTTTTCTACAGAAGAACGCTCACTGAATCCATCAAAGCTTCAGGCAACAGTGGACGTGTGTATTCATATGCTTTTCTAAATCTGTTCCAAGCTGATGAACAGCCTAAATGGATTTTAAATTTCATAGCAAGCTTAGGCTACCACTTCGAGTCTGCACTGGATGCCATTCAGCCCAAGAATAATTTAATACTTTATAGTGTGCTTCTGCTCAAAAGATAAAACTGTACAGGCCTTCAGAGAAGACCAAGCATTTACACTTTTTAAGGAGTGCACTTTTGATTCCTTTGCTGTGATCCCAGTATTAGCATTTTCAAAGTTTACCCCTTAGAGGGTCTGGAAAATAAGACTACAAAGTGCTTTCCCACTATGCTAAAATCATCCCTCCAGAGCAATGAGATGACAGGAACAGCACACAGATGACCCAAAGATATTTCCATACATCACATCATCAGTTTCAGAATATACCAGACACTTTAAAGCTAAACATTATCACTAATTTGAGGATAACTGTTTACAGACCAGCTTTGTTAGTGACCTTGTTTAATCTGCTTGTAAGCACAATTCCTTTATTCCTAAGAGCAGAGGGCATGAATTACCACCACGGTGAAAATCCCTTTTTTAGCTGCTCTCAGTGACTAGCTGTGTTTTAGGGTCGATTTAATCTATATTTAGAGGATGAAGCTTCTATGCTTCTATAAAGCTTAATTATTTCTCTATGTGGCTTGTATGATGAAGGCACTTACCAGTGAACGATGGCTTCTTGGCAAAAATGCTGGCTTAGGGTAAACAGTTGAGATGTGGATCTGGGCTGTACACCTCTGTGCCAATCGAGGGTGTTTCAAGAAGCATCACTGTGCTTGAATGGGGCAGTTGGGAATCAGGCTGTGCCCAAGTCCCGTCACTAACATCAATTCAACCTGACTTCAAGATTTACCTTTTTTTTTTTTTTTAATTTCAAAACAAACATAGAAAAGATTCCAGAAATTCAAATGTTTCACATGGAGCAAATTTAAAAGGAGCATTTGAAATACACACACCAAAAAAGCAAAGAAAAGCCTGGAGGAATGCCACATCCCCCAGCGTGCAACAGACTGTACAAAACCTAATGGCACCATATGAAGATCCTCCTACGTCTTATTCCCTACTCCTTTTTCTGCTGCTTCTGGCCTCCATCCCTAGCCATGTATTCAGGTGATTGTTTTTTCTTGGCCTGGCCACATGTACTAGCATCTCTTCAGCCTCTCTTAGCATCTGCCTCTTGGAGAACTGCCTTTTTGCCCCTTCCTCCTAAGACACGGCTCCACCTGGCCCCAACACTTGGGGTCTATGTTTGGAGAGGTCCTGCTACCTTTACCAGCTGATCTCATTTTCAGTGGCACCATCTGTTTGCCTCCCTCCTTGATCACTTTTAGCCATAGGGCATTGCTTTCCTTGGTCACATCGAGTAACACAGCATCCTCTCTTGGCTAGAGGCTGAGTTCTGACTCAATCCTCTCCACTCACACTGCATTGTGCAACTGAGAGCAGTGGAAAGATACACAGTAATAATCACAGTGGGTTCATAATGACATAGCAGCACCAGAAAGGCTTTGAATCAAGTGTCAGTGCCAAGCATTTGTAGCAGATTTGCTACGTTGCTACACTCTAAGCTAGATTTGGGTGGAAAAATAACAGCTGAAACAGTCATTTGCAGGAAACGTGATCATTATTTCTGTACGCGCACACACACCCCCCCCCCCCCCCCCCCCCCCCCATATCTGGAAATGCAGCATATAATTGATTAAACTCAATTGTGGTTAAATAGCTTCTCTTAAAATGGTGTAGTATCAACAAGGTCTATGGATTTCAGAAAGGGCTATACAGGCAGCCAGGCATTTCCACACTTTTTCCTTTACATGTATTCAATCTGCCTTATTGGCCAGGTTGTTACGCTATTTTAAACAAAAATAAAAGGCACTTTCCTATTAAACCTCAGAACTAATGAAAAATTTTCCATGTACTTAAGCTTCCACGCAGCATCCCACTATAATCTTTCCTGTTTTGTCCTACAAATTGCTTGCAACAGCCAACCCACCTGTAGACTGCAAAATAAATTGAACTACTTGGATGTGCAAGGCAGCATTCGGATGTACGAGGCAAATCAGGGGACTGTTTTCACTGATGAGACTTCTACCTCTTTCATCTCCAGAGTGGAGTAAATGCACAGAACGGATCAGACACAGAGCCGACAGAGAAGCAGTAAGAGCATCAATACCTCTGGGAAGCTCATGTTTGCAACCAAGGAGTCTCACCCATTGAACTGGAAAAGCTGACTTTTGCTCCCCTTGAGAACTTTAGCTATTGCAACACACAGCAATCATGTTGAACGTTTCAGTGTTTCAAGATGAATGCAAACATTGATGTCTAACTTGCCAGCACTCCCAGGAGAGCTTTGCCAGAGTGCAACGTCCTTCCCACTGCACTGCCACACTACCAGTTCTCGATGAATTAAGAATGAACTGTGCAGCTTCATACGGGTACCACACTGCTGCTGCCAAAAGGCTTGTGCTGAATTTCAGACACTCTGGGAAAAGCACAATGACACTTTATGATAAAACTACCATCTCTGCTGAACAACGCCTGAAAATCCAATTAAGGATACCTAGGAAGAGAAGAGCCAGGGTAAGAAGGAACAGGCATAGTCCCATTTTAGAAAAGCACAGATGAGAAGTTATACTCACATGGTATTTATTTCAAAACCCTTTCTGTGAATGCACATTTTCAGTTACTGAATGCAAAACACAATCCCGCATCAGTCCATAACAACACCTTCAGCTTGGTCAATTCCTTGTGCACTGGACAGTTGCCCTGTTCATTATTTAAGACACCCAGTAATCTTGTCCTTCTATTCCAAAGTGCAAGTTGTCTGTGCCCATAGAAACTGTAAATTAAGTGCAGCCACTGTTTCCTCTGCTGGAGATATGCATGAATAGCTTCCTATATCCTCAAGTACCCAAAATAGAAAAAAGGGACTTGGGCTTGTCACAGCCATAATGACTCAGTCTCTCATTAAAAGTCACTATTACCAGCAACATCAACTGTGTTAACGAAGGGTTGAGGCTTATGTACCCCATGAAAAATACCAGTCAACCAGCCAGCCTTGCTTGCATGAAGGCTTTAAGCAATTGCACTTGTATTAAGCAAAAAAGGTGTCAGACTTCCAGCTAACTAAAAATCTTACTTGTAATGCAGAAGTAGGAGTAGGGTATGTATTGTAATAACTTATCTTGGACAGAAGATGCTTTTTTCCTAATGGCATAACAAAGCAATTGCGCTTTTGATGTGTCCACTGGCTACACTGAAGTGTGACTAGAATGGGTAGAGCATTACACTTCCCTTACAAGATCAGGGCCTGTAATAGCAAACATTTTAAAATACTTACATAGTCATGTGCTGACAACAATGCATTTCATGGTGCTAACAACAATCCAGTGTTGAAGTGACAATAAAATAATGTTTAACCATATATCAAATACATATTATGGGATGCATGTCTATACATACCTTACAGAGAACATTACATCAGATAGCTTATGGTATAAAAGAACATACTTGAGTGATGTTTTTGGAGTAATTTTCCCCCCAAGATAACATCTCAGGCATCTGTCATCTATCTTGCTCCTACTAAGCTAAGGAGGCTGGCAGTGTGAAAGAGAAAACCTACTGTAGCTTCCATTTCATTTGACCTGTAAAGACAGTCTGCAAAACACCAGAGAGTTCTAATGTTTCAGGAGTGACTATCAGTGACAGCATAAGAAGCATTTTCTACTGGTCACATTGTCACGTATATCACCCCAGTTTTGAAATGAAAGAAATCCCCGCATCCCCAAGTTTATCAAAGACTAAGTTACATCAAGGAACATACCTTTGAGATGTTAGAAGAGCGGCTCATGGAATGCCCCAAAGCCTTCTCATTCTGAAAGAGGAAGAACAGGATCACTGCAGCAACAAATCACAGTTATGAGCATATTTTAAAGCTGGTATTAGAAACCAAATTCCATGGAGAAAGTCTTACAGCTGTGGCTTTTAAGGATGTTGCTTCTATTGACAGCCTGATTTACAACAATCACTAAATTACTTTGTTGCTTAACAAGATATTACCTTGCAGAAAATCACATAGGCAAGACAAGTACAAACTGAGAAATACTAGAACAATGATTTCTTCTTGCTATGAATACTGCAAAGCCGTTTTCTCAGATGGCGTCTATTTTGGAAAGGATATATCTCAGCTCTGCCTCATCTACATCTAAAGGCAAACACTAAACCACTAAACTGAAAGCTCTTGCTTAAACACAAAACTATTACAGTGATGTCCGGAAACAATTGTGAATAACCACATGCAAGTCATGTCAGGAGATAAAGCAGTGAGGAAGCAGTCAGGAGAAGTAGTGAGGAACTTCCTATTTACCACAGAACTCAGAATTAAACTGGAAATATCATACAAGATGGAAATGCAGAAGCTGCAATTCTCAAAACTGAAATCAGTGACAACTGCATCTGTTACTTTTCAGAATGTAGGCCCTGACTGATAAGGATGACAATCTTATCTCCTACCAAAACAAACTGTAGGTTTTTGCATGAAGACATTTCATCCTTTAAGGGTTCCTGGTTTCTGAAGATCAGTTTACCCTAAGTGTAACTGGACATGATTGCTCCACTGGGAAGAGCCTAGAAACTGCTCTGCAAAACTTTTCTAAATAAAATCCAACAAGAAATATTTTTTTTTCTAAACAAATATTACAAACAGGGCAAGTCATAACATTTGGTTCTGGATCAGTATCTATGTTCCTCTAAGTCTGTGAAGCTGGGATGCAAACTGGTTTGAGATTTAAACCCTCTGAAAAAGGGGTAAATTTACTACTTTCTCCTCTGGGCTCTATGCTGGATAAGAGTTTTCTAGAAGTGCATCTTTTCATCTGGGATTTTAGGAACGAAATTCTTTCCCCTTTATTCCTGAAGAGAATTTAACCTAGTAGAGACAGGCTGACAGCACCTTCTTCCAGTTCTCATTGGGACTGACTGATCAGACAGAGCTTGAGATCAGAAGTCCTGCATATATTAACAAATGAGGAAATAAAAAAGCAACAGAGTCAACTGCTGTTAGTCCTAGATCAGTTTGGATATAGCACACTGGTTGCAGACCTCCTGCCTATGGTTTGTCACAATTCAAGCGACCTTCAATGACTAAAGCCCACACCATTGAGCCTGACTGGCCACCCAGATGCTACACCCTCACTTTGAGATCCCTGTGCTTCCTGATGCTTCTTCCTACAGCACATCCCCAGAGCAACTTCAAAGATTTGTGTTGAGAAAACAAAAGGCAAGGCCAAAACTTCAGCACGTGCTTACACAAGCAGGCTGTCCCTTCCTTACACCACCAGTTGCCTCTCAACAGAGTCCTGGGCACTGCCTCAGTTGACAGATATAAATTGCACTTTCTCCTTTAAAAATGCGAGGAAGCAAATAGTGTTCTGAAACCCCCCTTATGCAGGAGTGTGAGTACCCAGAAGACAGTATAATAGTGTTTCAGAAGAACTGACGAGAACCAACCAGGGAACCCCCTGCCAGTTTTGACTGATGGCCAAACTAAAAACCAGCAAGGAACAGTTTAAGGTCTAGGCTACAACTATTCCAAATTACCATTGACTTGAATGCGAGATTTGCATACTGCAAGGCTGAGTTTGATTTTCAAGATGACTATGAGCTTTTGTGACATAGATAACAGTATTCCTGGAACAAACACATAAAGACTCCCAAAAATATGGATATGATGCTTATGCGAAGACTAACATTGGACGGGACTACTGCCAGAACCCGTAGGGCTAAGAGTTGACTCCAACCATAAAGGAAGGACTTAGCTGATTTCATCAAAGGCAGTGTAACTACAGCAACAGGAGAAAAAAAAAAAGTTCATTGACACTATAGAAGATGGGAGGAAGAAAAAAAGGGGGCAGGGACATGTTCTCAAGCTATGATGAAAAGAGAGCAACACAAGTTGGCAAGCACTAAGACTTGTCATTGCATATGCGTGAGGTGTGGGGGGAAGCAGACTGTGCTTGGCCTTCCAGGGACGCGAGGGAGGTAAACAAAGCAAGGTTATGTGGAACAAGGGAAAATGGTAGTGAAGAGCGGGACCCATGGCCAAGAAGTCTGCCTGGAGCAACACATACAGCTCCACACAGGAGACAGTCTCAAATCCAGTCCTAGGTGCCAAAGAGTTCCGGGTGAAATTTCTAAAGACAAAATTAAACAGAGCAGAGGTTTCTTCATGTTAACTCAACACTCCTCAAATACTGCTGTCTAGCTGAAGATGCCGCCTGCAAGGGAGCATGACTGAACTTACACAGGCACCTGTGTTGAAAAGGATGTGCTAAAATTCAATAAGCATGAACAGGCTGGAGGACAAGACCTATATTTGCACAACACAGTAAATGATGCAGAGCAAACGTACTCTTAGCTGCACCACAGAAACTAGTCTTTCTGCCTCTGCTCCCAGAACCGATTTTATCTGATGGATGCCAGGAGCCTCTAATTACCTTTATTGATCTACTGTTGGAAACATACCTATGGTTTTGTTACTGCAAGAGTGATCATTTTTAAACAAAAAAAGCTGTCCTGAAAAATATTCCCTTAAGGTTTATGGAGTGCATGCACACATATATTTAAGTATCAGTGATATTTCTAAAGGACTCCTAGCCACCTAAGTACTCTTTCACATCTCAGTTTCCTTACCACACAAAGCTGGTACATCCATAAAGTCAACAGGAAATTCACTACAGCCTTAGCCCAGGTTGGCCAAAAAAAATCTGTACTCTAAAGAGCTACTTACATCGACAAGGAGGAGAAGCACCAACTCAGTCATATTTTCAAGGAGTGACAACTGACCCCATAGCCACTACCAGATCCAACACAGACTTGCAAATACTACTTTCAGTCTAATTGGCCTGTCAACTGGCAAGCAGCTCCATTACCCAGATAAATTTGCTTCAGCCCTTGAACACCAACTAACCCTATCTTAGCCTGTTTTCTAATCAGGGACGTTTTTTGAAACATCTGCTCCAAGTCTCACAGTTTACATACATGCAGACTTTAAAATGTGCTGGGCTGAAGGCAGATAAACAACTGAGTTTCACTGTGCAACAGCAATTTCCAGTTCACTACGACCACTCAAGTAGCACTCCCACTGAAGGAATGTATAGTGCTTTCTTGCCAGTTTCTGCAAAGGACCAAAACCATTTATTTATTTATTTTTAAATCATTAAACAGCAACAGAAACACCTCTAAGTAATACAGTTCATGAAGTCTAGCTGTGCTGTTTAATTCTTTTACAAATAAAATAATAAACATCAATGATTCAGGAAAAAGCACTGTGGAAGCCATTAAATAGAGCCAGTGGTTGCTGGTGTTTCCCATGCTGCGATAGATTAAGGATTCTGTATGTTTTCCAGTCATTGAGACATAAAAGAGCTGTAAAGACATGGAAGGAGCTCCTGAAATAGGTAGATTTTAATCTTGCATACTGCAAGGCTGAGTTTGATTTTCAAGATGACTATGAGCTTTTGTGACATAGGTAACAGTATCCCTGGAACAAACACAAAGATTTTAATCTACCTATTTTTAGGTAATTTAAAGGCACAATTACTAAATGAGGAATAGAAACATTAAATAGATAAAAATTATTTTAAAGGCAAACAAACAAAAGCTCACTTTTCACAATATATCCATCACGAGTACATTCATCCTAGGTTCTTATACTAATTATTCACAAATTAATACTGACATGGGAATGGCAGGACTAAGCTTCTATTATAGTACTATCACTACCCAACAAATAAAGGTCTTCAGAGACTTTTTCTAGCATGTTCCCACTGCACAGTAAAACATATTCTAGTCTGGTAATTACAGGTCCAAACAAGCTCTCTTGCAAAAGCGTTAGTCTTTGCACTTGAATGAAAGGTCAAGACAAACGCAACATCTGCCAGCATGGACCATACAATTATCACCAGTTAAAGCAAGTGTCACTCTACTTTCGCAGATCAGTCTTTCTGTATGGGACAATGGGAATCCTGCCTTTCAAAATCATCCTACTCAACTAGAACCACCTGGCAGGCACTTAAAAAAAAAAATCTAGATAGGAAAAAATTACAAGTGCAACTTGTAACTTCTCCTGAGCCACTCACTCCCAGCTGCTGCTCTGAGGTCCCCAGCAGAGCCTGGCTCTAGGGAAATGCCTGAAAAACAGAAAATTGCTACTCACTCCTACAGTGACATGCTTCTCTAAGCTTTGGATGCACTTGCTTGCAATTGCCTGAATCCCCCTCTCAACTTTCTTTTTCTATCATCCCCTGGAAATTGCTTCCTACTGTCAGCAACAGAGCTGCCTCCTTCCTTTGGCAGTTGCTTCAGCTCATATCTTCTTTCCTGCAGGGCACTTTGTCTTGCCTTCTCCACCTTGAGGGCTCATTTTCCCTTCTGCCACCATTCCTCGGTTACTCTTGCATGACACCTCTCCCTTCTCAGTTCAGAGATCTACAAGTCAACACCTCCCTCTCATCCTCTCTTTTACCTCAGTCTTCCATACTCAGGACTTCAGGTTATTTTACCTTGCTTCCCTACCACAACATATCCATTTTCCATTAAGCACAACAGCTATGTAACTTACACAGCCAAACCCAGAAGCCTTGTGTACCCCAAAACACCAGTTCCTGTCACCTGAACAGAAGGAGGTCCCCACTCACTGACAACAGTTCAGGCAGCCACAGTAGCTCTTGTGCACTTAGAATACCAACGCATCATGCTGACCTTTCTCCAAACTTTGCTGTAGACTTAATGCAGCTTCAGCCAGTGGGCATCCTAAAGAAATACAACTTGGACGTCCTTGCCAGGATGGAAGGGGAAAAATATCTTGGTAAA